ATCACCTATCCAAAATTTTTGTTTTTTACATTTCATGGCTCCCAAAACAATAGGGAAATGGAAATCGAGCTACGACCTTGTGAGATTTGTGAGTAATGTTGTCGTGCAGCTATATGAAAACATTCTCAGAATTTTGTGAGTAAAGACCCGAAAGATAAGATTTTGGTAAAAATTAATTTTCGGGTTGATGAGTTTGTGCTATGCAGATGGCCTTGATGTTGTCCCACTCGTTTGTGAATTCTAAGAGAATGTGAAAGAATTCGTGGATGGGTGGGCCTACATGCGAGGAAAACTAATTTCTTTTGATCCTACCACCATAAATGATATTTTTGGCCTCCTTGACATTCTTAACTGTGATTATGAGTAGTTTCTTTCTCTTGACTATCAGGAGATAAAGTCCTTCCTTACTGATGGCACAAATCAGTAGAAGGTTTGCTATGGGGATGAGGGAGAGACACTTGTGAATTTCTCCTTGACTTATCTTAACCCCATCTCCCGATCCTACCATTACTTCGGTGGCGCTCGTCTCCATACCACTACTCTCACTAATCTGACTAGAGATAGGGACATTTTGAACTTCTGCATTCAGACATTTCGATCCATAGATATAGGAATCATCCTCCACCATTCCATCATGCACCATCTCAATGGTCAAACTATTGTAGTTCTAAGACACCTTTTGCCCTTTGTCAAAGAGAGGGGGTTGTTGGAAGGAGTGGTGATAAGATGTTAGTGTCGCAGAAGCCTATCACCAGGACCATTTTTTCCTTTTGTTGGCTCTGCACAGGTTTCATCCCGAGAGAGAGGAGAGATTTCCTCATGTTTTCCCAAGCCTTCACGTCGAGAACCTTTAAGTGCTGAGGTGTTGAGGCGCTTGAAGGACATGTCTTTTGAGATACACGATGTCTGCATGCCGACACAACACTATGCAGAGTAGCACCGACAGCATTATGGATACATTCACCGTTGCATTCAGAGGTGCAGTGCTCACTACTGTCAGTGACCTTCCCGACTTTGCTGTCATTTGAGATTTATGTTCTGGACGACGACGACATGGAGGAGACCGACAATGACTAGACAACTCTGGCATTGTCGCATGCTTGCAGTCAGTTAGGGGCTTACACCCAGTAGTGTGCTTGCACCATTCAGGCCAGCGGAGTAAAGTTTAGGCGGTCGTGTCAATAGCTTGGGCGACTACTGCATTCCTTATTATCATGTATCATGTGTTTGTGTATTGTTTTCCCTACTCACGCAACATGGCCTGTTACTCCATATGGACTACTGCATTGTCGTTTGGCCATGGTAATGAGTGTTGATTTATTTTTGTGGTATACATATATATATATATATATATATGTATACATATATATGTATACATATATATGTATATATATATATATATATATATATATGTATACCACAAAAATAAATCAACACTCATTACCATGGCCAAACGACAATGCAGTAGTCCATATGGAGTAACAGGCCATGTTGCGTGAGTAGGGAAAACAATACACAAACACATGATACATGATAATAAGGAATGCAGTAGTCGCCCAAGCTATTGACACGACCGCCTAAACTTTACTCCGCTGGCCTGAATGGTGCAAGCACACTACTGGGTGTAAGCCCCTAACTGACTGCAAGCATGCGACAATGCCAGAGTTGTCTAGTCATTGTCGGTCTCCTCCATGTCGTCGTCGTCCAGAACATAAATCTCAAATGACAGCAAAGTCGGGAAGGTCACTGACAGTAGTGAGCACTGCACCTCTGAATGCAACGGTGAATGTATCCATAATGCTGTCGGTGCTACTCTGCATAGTGTTGTGTCGGCATGCAGACATCGTGTATCTCAAAAGACATGTCCTTCAAGCGCCTCAACACCTCAGCACTTAAAGGTTCTCGACGTGAAGGCTTGGGAAAACATGAGGAAATCTCTCCTCTCTCTCGGGATGAAACCTGTGCAGAGCCAACAAAAGGAAAAAATGGTCCTGGTGATAGGCTTCTGCGACACTAACATCTTATCACCACTCCTTCCAACAACCCCCTCTCTTTGACAAAGGGCAAAAGGTGTCTTAGAACTACAATAGTTTGACCATTGAGATGGTGCATGATGGAATGGTGGAGGATGATTCCTATATCTATGGATCGAAATGTCTGAATGCAGAAGTTCAAAATGTCCCTATCTCTAGTCAGATTAGTGAGAGTAGTGGTATGGAGACGAGCGCCACCGAAGTAATGGTAGGATCGGGAGATGGGGTTAAGATAAGTCAAGGAGAAATTCACAAGTGTCTCTCCCTCATCCCCATAGCAAACCTTCTACTGATTTGTGCCATCAGTAAGGAAGGACTTTATCTCCTGATAGTCAAGAGAAAGAAACTACTCATAATCACAGTTAAGAATGTCAAGGAGGCCAAAAATATCATTTATGGTGGTAGGATCAAAAGAAATTAGTTTTCCTCGCATGTAGGCCCACCCATCCACGAATTCTTTCACATTCTCTTAGAATTCACAAACGAGTGGGACAACATCAAGGCCATCTGCATAGCACAAACTCATCAACCCGAAAATTAATTTTTACCAAAATCTTATCTTTCGGGTCTTTACTCACAAAATTCTGAGAATGTTTTCATATAGCTGCACGACAACATTACTCACAAATCTCACAAGGTCGTAGCTCGATTTCCATTTCCCTATTGTTTTGGGAGCCATGAAATGTAAAAAACAAAAATTTTGGATAGGTGATGATAGCTTCAAGAACAATAAATTTTTTGGTTTCGAAATTATACATCAAGTATGGAAATCACAATCTTACCATGTACGATCATTGCTGACAATGTTATGGGGATGTGAGAGAGTGATTCAAGAATACGGGTGGAGAGAGACAAGAAGAAATAGAGGAAATGCGAGATACTTACCACAACCTCTAGCTTCTATCCAGATCTACTCAATGTAATATGGATTTAACAAAATGTGTCTGTTACCTAGAGATTTCAGGGCTTAGTGAGGAGTAGAGGAGGTGCTCCGCGGAAAACAAGGGGGAAAATGCCGAAGAAGGGTGGTTCGGGCACTTAAAAAGCTTGACAACGTGGTCGCACCGAGCAGCGACATGTCACGCAGCCCTAATATGCCTCACGCTGCTGGTCAGCGTGGTCACGCAGACTTATGGGGTGGTTACACCGATTCCTAGTATGACACGAAAGATTTTTTTCGTCACCTTCTCCTGTGAAGACCAACTACTGAGTAGAGGGACCAATACTCAAAGCTACACACATTCAATAAACAAACACTCACAATTACATGATTTCAAACCACAAAAAAAAAAAACAAAATAAATGTGATAAATGAAATATAAAATAACGCTTATGTTGCCTCCAAGATGGTGTTTGGTTTAACGTACTTAGTCGGGCCAAGTCAGACAAAATCCTATACTAAGTTTCCATGGTCAAAATAACACCTTAGTAGTACCTGATTGCTAGTCTCAAGGTCAAGTAGTCCTGATTTTTCCAGTAAGGTCATGTTCTCAATTTCTTCCAAAAAATGGTGATCCTATTCTAACCACTAATGGAGTGTTTGTAGTAACCTCTCACTTTCAACCAGATAATCATTCGTGATTCCAATAGGTAAACTAATGTGGTCTCCTAACCGATCCGGGCTTGGTGGTTAAGTTTCTTCTACTGGAAGAGTAGCATTTTAATCAGTCAAATTCCTCAGAAATTCATCAATTATCCGTCGCTCTTCCAAGTGAACATCCACAGATTCAGTAGATTGAATTTTTACTACTTGAGTCATAGTTTCAGTTCTTTGAATTTGATCATTCATATAGGCTTGGGGAAGACCTGATGATTTTAAAACATCAAGGTAACTACATGATCATGTTCTCTTAAAATCACCTTCCCCTCCTGAGCATTAATAGTAGCCCTTCTAGTGGCTAAAAAGGTCTCCCAAAAATCTCATGTATCCCTTTGTCAGCTTTTAAATCCAAAATTATGAAGCCAACCAAGTCCGAAGAGATGTAGGTGTAGAAGAGTTTACTCCGAATAGTGACTAAGTCAAGAGAGATGCTATGGACAAAAAAATTTCCTGCAGATCATCTGGTCATGAAGACAAACATTATTATATCATTGATGATTGTTTTTGTGATTTTATTATTGTGATATTATGCATAAAATGTTGACTTATAATTTATGTGTTGAAAAAATTTGAACTTCTGATGTGTTTTCTGTACTATGGAAGCTGTTTTTGTTATTATGCTATAATTATTTTGAAAAATGTAGTCATTCAGCTAATTTACATGTATAAGAGAAAAACAATCTTTTTCATAAAAAAAAAACAATTGCAATACAACAAATTATCCAAATACACTTCATCTATTCCAACATCTACTTTCTTACAATACTTATGAAGCTTCTTTCTCAGAAAATAGCTTCAAAGTTATTTCTTCAAAAAACGATAGCCGCCCTCGCACTGCTCCAAACACGCCCTAAGACGGTGTTTGGATGTGACTTGGATTTACTTTAAATAAGATTCATCAAATCCACGGTGAAATCATATTTATCTAACTCACGAGCAACGATGAGTGCACTCTGTGAATAATTGGATTTAAGATATTCCAATTTTTGTTGTTAAATAAACAAATGCGAATAAATCAATGGAACACAAGAGATTATGAATTCACAGAGCATTGAATTTAATTTTTATTTTATTTATGTTTGACAGGATTTAAGTTAAATTTATGACTAAATCCCATAAATGATATCCTACCAAAGACCCCCAAGCTGCATGAATGATTTAACTTTACTAAGATTTAATAAATCCAAATTTATTAAATCCATCAAGTGATGGATTTATTAAATTCGAATGTAACACGAGTTGAAAGTAAAATTTAGATCTTAAATTTAAAATTTTATAGATTCATAAAATTTATATATATATTTATTAAGTTTGTCTGAACTTAATAAATTCAAGAGATAAATTCTATTAATATGGAGCAACCAAACTCCCCCAAGAGAGACAAACAAAATATCTCGCCAAACCCTTAAAACTCAAACTTCGAAACTGTTGCGCTCTTCCCCTCATTTTTGAATCATAAATTTGCTGCAGCTGGCCTGTCAATTGGCGATTGCCGCCGCCGTCACCGGAGATGTCACCGATAAACTGACTTTACTTCTCGTTAAGAAGTACATATTTGTTCTCCCACTTGCCCGCTTCTAATCTTGATATTTACTCGCTTGATCTATCTGATCTGTGGGCATGATCTCTTGATATTATTATTGTTTTTTTTCTTGATCTTAAGTTTTCATCGCCTGTTAGTGATTTTTTCTTGGTAAATCTCACTTTATTGCTTCATGTCGCTTCTCGCAAAGGTTTCCCTCGACCAATTGCTGGCTTGGTATCCCTAGTCCTCATCCGCGGTGACACAAACTGCCTACCTTCAACCCCAGCTTCGACCGCCAGCACTTATTTTACCTGCGGGCATTTGTAAAATAGGAGGTCATGGGAGAGGAATAAGTGGGGAAATAATAATTGTAGAATGTCGATATCAGAAGCACTGAATTGAACTTTCAAATTGAGTGGGGAATTTATGTATGCTTGTGTTTCCCGGTGCCAGGAAGAGCCATTCGCAAACTTCTTGTCTTGTTGTTTTAGACGCCATGTTCATTGTACAAGCATAATCCCTGCCTAAGAAATATTTTCTACAGATTATCTGCTAAGTACTCGGGATTTGATCAGACAAAGTTTGTTTTGGTAGGGTTTTTATCATTTTAATATTAGCTGCAGTTTTGCTTGATTATTTTTAAAACGTTGATCCTATTTGGTTGTTCTTAAGTTAAGCTAAGTCTTTAAGCGGAGTTAAGAACTATTTGATTGGTAGGAAATATAAACTGAGATCAGAAATTAGTTTGGTTGATTTATTGTTTCAGCTCATGTTCTTTAATCAATCATCAAATGAAAAAGATAAGCTTGGAAAAATAAGCTCAGATACACTAGTGAAGGTTTGTTTAGCTTAGTTGCACTTAAGCCTATGTATAAATATAAGTAGCGCTCATCTTTTATGTTAATTTAGGGTTAAATTTAGAAGTAAAGTGCTTCAAATGTGATCAGAAGAAAACAGACTCTGAATACTCGATTAAAAAGTTGATAAAAAAAATCTCCGTATGGATATATTGATACACAATGTCTCAGGATACATAGACATTCTCTTAAAATAAGAAATGCTTTTTTGTATGAAAGGGGCGGATCTTAATTTTTTTTTCAATGGAGGCACTATAAGAAGATTTAGGAGTTAGACCCTTGATCAATTTTTAAATTATGCTCTAACAAAATCAATCATATAAATTAATATTAATTAATCATTTCGTTATAATTGGTTCAAGCATTAGTTACATATATTTTATCCAAGAAGTAATATAGGATTTGATGAGATTTTGATGGTTTAAAAACTCAACCAATGACCTTTCTATTTGAGAGCTCTAATGTTATATTTATAGGAAGAAATGATTTATTTATTGCAAAGGGAAATAATGCGAGAGATAAGAGAAGAGAAAAGGATAGTCTTACTAATGGTTGGTGCAACAAGGAATAAAAATTGACCACACCTTCAAATATGGACTTTCTAAGGCTCCACACTATGTATGCGTTTGTGTTTTGCTTGTTTGAATTTGGTTCTTATTTGAACTTATTTGTAAACAATATGTATGTGCTCAATTTATTTAAACTTCAATGGGTTTTCTTAGAATTTTAAGCTTTTTTAATCTTAAATTAAGCATATACAAACAAATATTATTTGTAAGTTAATTAGCTTAAAATAGTAATTACATACTAATTTTATATGTTTAGTGATAGTTCATATATAAAAAAATTAATACTAAATTATGAGGTAATTGTTAGATTATTTAATGCTCAATATTATTAGGTTTAAGACTATAGTTGTAAAACCATATTTTTAAGAAATCTAGTTGAAAACTCTCCTTCTTAGGCATCTGATCCCATCCTGTTTTTAGCTCTTGCTATTTTTCTTACTCATCTTTCCATTGAACAGTAAAGAATCTAAACATATACTCACTTAGGGAGTGTTTGGTAGCACCTTTTAATAGGATTTATCATCGGATTTACTAAATCTAGTCAAACGTTAAAATGCAGGAGTTCCATGCATTTACAAAATTTTGGATTTAGATTCCTACCTTGTACCATTGATTCGACTTAAATCCGGATTTACTAAATCTAGGGGTAGGATGGATTTAACGGATTTACTAAATACTACTAACATTAAATCGTACTTGCACCCAAACACCCTCTTAGGGTATGTTTGGAGCAACTTTATCTCTGCATTGTTTTTTAGACTACTGCGACGCATTCTTTCAGCTAATATTTTCAAAGAATTTATATGATTAGAAGTTATTTTTGAGAACTAGATCCACTAAAATATTTTAGTTGTAAGAAAATTGTTGTTCGATATTTATAATACTAATGATAACTTTAAAAAAAATTTCTTTCCTCATAACAGCTTTACAACTATGTTAGATAAGAGCTACAACTGCGCACAATGGACCCTTATTTTATGTTTTACCGACATTTCCTTTTATTTTCCTTTGCCCCCAACTATGACCAGCCTTACCAATGGGCGCATGTGTTGCTAGTGTTCCCATGCTAACTCTGCCCCAGGGTATAAATCATATGATTTATAAATTATGCTATGCAAAAAGAGGTAGTTGGCTATCATCTATTTCTTTTATACATCCTGTAAGTCATACCATCTTCCTAGCTGTACGAAGTATTTTCCCATGCTGATATTTTGTATCAGGATATCTTGATGCTTTTTCCTAAAACATTTCTAGCATAAAAAATTAGAGAAAGAAAACTTTTAGCAAGTTGTACGAGATGCTGATCAAGAGAAATTTATTTAATAATAAATTATATGTTAGTGATTTTTATTAATGTCTGTAACGGAAAATAAGATGATGTGTTGGTAATCAAGAAAGGTCAATGCAATTATTGATTACCTAATTTTCTTGAAAACATATGCATTTCTTAAAATTTTTGAAATTTACATGTATATGTAGGAGAAGTATTAATTTGTCCTGACTAATTTTTTGTTAGATATTGGATGTTTATGGTTATTAAAATACAATTTTTTGTTAGATATTGGATGTTTATGGTTATTAAAATACAAGCTTTTGCTCCAAGTGTAATAAAATAACATGAACTTAAGGTTTCTTACGCATGAAAACTTGCAGGTGGATATATTTTAGTATACAAATCAACCTATAAAAGACAAGGTGAGTTAATAAGCTTTAAAGAAAATGCATAAAACATTAGAAAGCTATTGAAAATATCGAAGTTACAAAAGATGTAGAGTTGGTAGTAGGATTATTAAATCTTTTTTATGAAATTCTTAATACTAAATGGATGGCAAATTATTGGAGGAAGTTTTTGTCGCATTTTTAAGAAGAAAGGAAATGCTTGAACTGTGTTCAAAGTTATGGAATAGTGTCGGAACAAAACTCAGAAAATTTACATCGATATTGGATGTGATTTTGATGCCTCGGCAATTAATGTTTCACTACAGGATACGACAGGAAATTAACCTCAAAGTGACATATAGTCAAGTACAATATGAATTGATTTGATGGGTATTGCAATGAAAGTTTGCGCTGTATGCTCAATTTTTCAAATATGTCTGATGAAAAATTGACTATTATTTATTTATTCTGTAACTAAATGGTTTACATTCATCTTAGGTATGCATCTGGAATCGATGTTAAGTTTTTATATATTTTGTTTGCAAATTGAGATGATTATAACAAATATTCAAAATAAGATAAGTTGGTGTATTTTCTTTACAGATAGCAATATACAAAATTTCTCCGATGTAATTAAAAATCTTAACATATTTTTTGTCCAAAGATTGACAATACGTACGCACCCTCTTTTTGTGTCTTATTGATAGAAATTCTTATGAAAGATATTTACAGTTGAGCAATTTGGCAATGCTATTTTTGCATGATATATTCCTAATTGGAAATACTTTCTTTTTAGTGTATGCTATTTTTTCATTATTTACAACTGATAAAAAATACTTCGGCATAACTGAAAGTTTGAGCAATGCAGATTTTTCATAAGGGGTTTAAAATTTGTCATACAAAATACCTAGCTAAATGATTTAAGTGAATCAATTGGTTGGAAGATTAAATTATACGGTTTATACATTAAATACCTTGGCTCTATGCCTATGTTATAATGTAGAAAATGGAAATGAAAGAGGATGTAGCTTGTGCGATAAAATAATTTAATGGTGAGCTAAAAGAATTTTTTTTTAAACTTGTGATAATATCACGTATTCTATTTGAATGCATGTGCTGGGCAGTAAAATATTAGGAAATAACTAAATTAAGTGTAATGGAGGTGAAAATCAAAATTGGATGTTCCTAAAACTTGGAAAGATAGTGTGTAAAATAATTATGTTATAGAGGATTTGAGAATACAAGGCATAATAGATTATGCACGAACAAGATTTGTATATAATTAACGTAAATGTCATCTGAAACAAAAAGATAAACCATATATAACTTGGCTAGACATCTTAAATAAAAAATTTCAAAATTTTAACTCGATATAAATGAATGGAGAAGAAGGATTTCTAAAGCCAAACACAAATTTGTGGGATAAGTATGTTAAACTTTACAGAATCCTGAATACATCCACAAGCCATTACCAAAGTTCTAATTTGCATGATCTTTTGTACCTTGTATTCCTCATGATGTTAAATATCAACATCGACAATCTTCTAAACGTTATTTTAAGGCTCTCTTAGACACAATCTTCAATTTTTTTTAAGAAGTTCATTGCAATTTTTGCTTATTATGTTTGCTGTTAGAAATTAAACGTCGACCATCTGATGATCCGATTAGGAGAGTAGATGTTTTAGATTCGACTTATATTAGAAAATATGACACTAATTTATTAGAACTAAATGAAAATATGACAATAAATAGGACGCAATGGAGAAAAGGGATTCATGTAGCCGGGGATTCATGTAGTAGCCGACCCCACGTAGTGGGATTAAGGCTTTATTGTTGTTGTTGTTGTTGATGATGTTTTCTCTTAGAATATTGTTCGTCTTTCAGACTTAGCTAACCTTTAGTTGATTTAAATCTAACTTGGACATCTAAGATGGCCCATGTAGCTAATTCATTTCTTTTTAACTACTTATTTTATTTATTTTTTTCATATTTGGATGTTGCATTTTTTCTCTTACGTTGCGTTGAGAAAGTTCTATTGTTAATGATACAGATAGCCTCAGACAATCAAATCGTAGAATAGCAGGTTGCATATCTATCTGTAGCTAGTTTCCTTGACTGAACAATGGGTTGTTGGTTATTAACATTTTTATCAAAACTTTATGTTGTGTTATCACGAGCATATGTCAACTTTTTCCTTCTGATTTTCTCTAACTCCATTTAGATCAATATTCAACCCATAATGCAAGGGTTCCCACATTAGGGACAGATGCAGGTAAAAAAGTTAGTTCATGAAACTAATATTAGGATATGATCTTGGAATATAGGTACTCTTACAAATAAATTTATGGAATTAGTTGATATTATGATTCTTATAAAGATAAATATCTTATGTATTAAAAAAACTAAATGGTTTGGAGAAAAGACCAAAGAGATTGATAACGTAGGTCTTAAACTTTGGTATTCAGGTAAGAGTCGCATTATAAATGATGTAGGTGTAATTTAAATAAGAGTTTGAAAGACAATATTATAAAATTTAATAAAATTGGAGATAGAATTATAGCTTTTAAGACTATTGTTGATACTAAGATTTTTAATATTATAAGTGCTTATGCTCCTCAAACAAGTTTAGATATAAGTTGTAAAGTTAAATTTTGGAATGACCTAGAAGACTTAATACAAATGATATCTCTTGAAAAAAAAAAATATTAGAGGAGATTTAAATGAACATATCGGTAGAGTGGTAGAAGATTTTACAAATATTCATGGTGCCTACAGTTTTGGAGTGATTAATAAAGAAGGTAATTTTGTTTTGGCATATGATTTTGTATTGCTAATACTTTATTCAAGAAAAAAAATTGGCATGTTATTATTTATAAAAATGGATCTAATAAAATACAAATTGATTATGTTCTTATGAGAAGAAGAGATCGTCGAGAATGTAAATATTGTAAAGTTATTTCAAGTGAGGATTTAAGTACTCAATATCGATTATTAGTTATAGATTTTAAGATGATGAGTTGTAAAATAAAAAATACTAGGAAACTTTATCGTAGAATTAGATGGGGGGTACCTTAAAATTATTTTTATGAGTAAAATTTAAGATTTCAAGATTTGGAATGTTCATAAAGAAACAAATTCTACGTGGGATAAACTATTAAATAAGTGCAAAAGATGTACTTGGAGAATCAAAAGAAAAAAAATCTATAAATAAAAATAGTTGATGGTGAAATAATAATGTGCAGGAAAAGATAAAATATAAGAATTTATGTTATAAAAATTGGTTTAAATGCAAAAGCTTAGAGAAATGAGAAAAATATAAAATGACCTGTTGGGAGTTTAAAAGAACAATCCGTGACCCTAAAAATTATGTCGTTAGTGATCTTTATAATAAGTTAGATACTAAAGAGGGTGAAAAATATATTTATAAACTAGTCAAACAAAGAGAAAAATAAAAGTAAAGATTTAACTCAAGTAAAGTATATTAAAGATGAAAATAGAAAAAATACTTTTCTTAGAAAAATATATTCAACATAAATGGGTGAGTTATTTTAACAAACTTTTTAATGAAGTTTTGAAAATACGATTAACCTTAGTGATCTTAATTTTATTAATAATAATAAAATATTTCATTTTTATTGTCGCATTAGTAAAAAAAGAAATTGAGGAGACTTCAAAGAAAACAAATGATGGAAAGTCTGTAGGACCTGATAATATCCCAATTGAAGTGTGGAAATATATAAGAGATTTGAAAGTTTCTTGACTTACTAAACTTTAATATTATTTTAAAAACTAAAAAGATGTCTGAGGAGTGAAGGAAGAGTACTTTGGTCCTCATTTTTAAGAATAAAGGGGATGCAGAAGAGTGTGCAAATTATTGAGGAATTAAGTTGATGTGTCATGCTTTAAAATTATGGGAGAGGATATTAAAATTAATGCTTTAAAATTATGGGAGAGGATAATTGAACATATTTTAAGTCGTATTACAAAGATTTCTCATAATCAATTTGGATTTATGCCGAGCAGGTCTATTAATGGAAGCTATACATTTATTGAGCGGTTTGATGGAGAAGTTCAGAGAGAATAAGGAGAATGTACATATGATTTTTATTGATTTAGAAAAAACTTACGATAAGGTTCCATGAGATATCCTTTGAGATATCCTTTGGAGAGATATCCTTTGGAGAGTTCTAGAGAAGAAAGCTGTTACTTGTGTTCGAGCAGAATGAGGATTAACCAAATATTTTCCTATTTCAGTTGGATTACATCAGGGATTGACTTTAAGCTCATATCTTTTTGCTTTAGTTATGGATGCTCTTACTGGACATTTATAGGAGGATGTACCTTGTTGTATGCTTTTCGTTGTTGATATTCTCGTGGATAAGAATAGAGAGAACGCTCTGGAAAAACTTGAATTATGGAGGTCTAAATTGGAGCTAATGGCCTTCGTTTGAGTAGAACTAAAAGTGAATACATGGAATGTAATTTTATTAATAGTAGCTTTAATAGTAGCTTTGTAACTATGGGTGATCAAATTATTAAAAGGTGTGAACGATTTAAATATCTTAGGTCTTTTGTTCAAAGCGATGGTGATATACTATTGTTCAGTTCAAAGTGATGGTGATATAGATGGGGGTGTTATTAGTAGAATTCAAGTTGTTTGAAATGAAGGAATGCTTCGGGCTTATGTGTGATAGAAAAGTACCGCTTAGATTGAAAGGAAAATTTTATAAGATGGTGGTGAGACCTGCAATGCTCTATGCGCCGAATGTTGGCCTTTAAAAGGGAAGCATAAAACTAAGTTAAGTGTTGTGGAGATGAGATTGCGTAGGTGGATAAATGTCTTTACACTTGGAGACAAAATGTGAAATGAATATATCTGTGATAGGGGTGGTGCAGCTCCTGTGTCAGACAAAATTAGGGAGAGTTGTCTTAGATGGTTTGGTCACATTAAACATCGACTATCTGATGCTCCGATTAGGAGAGTAGATGTTTTAGATTCGACTTCTGTTAAGAAAGACAGAGACAGACCTAGAAATACTTGGGCATATTGTATAAAAAATGGTTTTAATTTATTAAAATTAAATGAAAATATGAAATTAAATGAAAATATGACACATGACACTCAATAGGATGCAATGGAGAAAAAGGATTATGTAGCCGTCCCCACTTAGTGAGATAAAGATTTGTTGTTGTTGTATTCAACCCATCATGCATTTAGCCAAGCTTTATGCGCAGCACTTCAATATGAATATCAAAATTTAACTTTTTTTAATCTTAGTTTAAGAATGACCAAACTCCTTATGTTGCATATTTGTTTTTGTCCTTGAAAAGTTTCAAGTAACCATGGAGAAAAGATGGGCTCTGAGTGATTTTGAAATTGGAAAGCCACTCGGAAGAGGAAAATTTGGTCATGTCTTTTTGGCCAGAGAAAAGAAGGTACGCCTATGAAGAAGTTCAGCAAAGAAGAAATCTACTTTTGACTTTTTTAATTGCATGGAGATTATGATGAATTTTCATTGTTGAACTACTATTGCAAGTTGCTTAACTAGCGGTTCTTCACTGCAGAGTAATCATGTAGTGGCAATAAAAGTTCTTTTTAAGAGTCAGCTAAAGCAATCTCAGGTTGAGCATCAGCTTCGGCGGGAAGTAGAAATACAGAGTCATCTCAGACATACAAATATATTACGTTTATATGGGTATTTCTATGATCAGGTTCGGACTAACTGCTAACTACAAAGGAAGTCGAGTCAGTTTTAAAATCACAAACTATCTTAATTTCATTCTAATCCTCCTCATGTACTGCAGACAAGAGTTTATTTGATATTAGAACATGCTGCAAAAGGAGAGCTATACAAAGAACTGCAGAAGTGCAAATATTTCGGTGAGAAGCGAGCAGCAATGGTAGAGACTCACTATGAATTTTGTGACTTTTCCCCCACCTCCGACCATTGTATTTTGGAAATTGAAATTCTGCTAAAATTTTTTTAGTTATGTTGATTCAGTATATTGCATCATTGGCTCGAGCTCTTATCTACTTACATGGAAAACATGTCATTCACCGAGATATCAAGCCTGAGAATCTACTGCTAGGAGCGCAGGTGCTCTTTCTTTGATCTTAAATGTCATGTCCAACCTTTTTGCAGCTGCATCATGCTTATGATGTTGGTTCTCTTTTGAATAGGGTGAAGTAAAGATTGCGGATTTTGGGTGGTCAGTTCACACATTTAATCGCAGGAAGACGATGTGCGGCACTTTAGATTACTTGCCACCTGAAATGGGTAATGCCAAATTCCGTTGATTTGCCCTTGCTTAAGCTGTGTTTGGATGTAGGGAATTTGAGTGAAATGAAATGAAAAAAAAAAAATGAAATAAAAGCCCAGCAGATTCATAATAAACCAACAAAATTTTCAATTTTCTTTTCATTTAATCCTCTTAACTTTCTTAAGGATTGTTTGCTTACAAATATTATGAGTATGTTCCATTTGAGATGTAGAAGTTTCTAATTTTTTTGACTGGGGTATGTTTTTTTACTCCCAGTCATTGATGAATTTGGAGTATGCTGGAGTCGAGTGAATTCCAAATTCATTGCTTGCTCATTCATACGACCTCAGTCCTTCTACAAACTTAAGCTATCTTTGTAATCTCGTTGAAGCCATCCTACTATCATGTTGTTATCACAGTAAAGTCATCTTTGCATCTCCCTCCCCCACACCAAGCATCCTCTGCCTCTTGCTCTCCATGCATAACTTAGATTCAATTCATTCCAAGAGAAGAAGCCCTCCTCACGATCTTAGGTTTTTGCTCCATTCTTTGGCGCTTGTTATATGATGTCATGTCATCTCCATGGTTTGTGGCTCTCCCCACGTGACACCATCTCCATTGCATTTTCATCATCCTTGTCCTCGCATTTTTGGGACTTATATTTAAATTTCTTATCAAATACAAAAAAAAATATTTATAGTAATAATTTGCTAAAAAAACTAGCTCTATTCATTAGCGACTTGGGCTTTTATAGAGCATCACAACTATCTTAAAAATAAAATCCTAGGCATTTTCTATATTTCCTATTTACCAATGGGACTTTCAAAAGTATACAAATCTAAACACTCCCTCTCAAGATGGGCAAAATATATTCACTAAGCCCATCTTGTCACATAATCTAAGCAAATCTAATGAGCAAGTCCTTTAGTGAGGCAGTTAGCCACTTGCCCTCCAGTGGCTACATGACCAAGCTCCAGTGGTTCATTATTTAGCTTTTCCTTGATGAAGAACCTATCAGTATCCACATGTTTGGTTCTATCGTGTTGTACTAGGTTGTTGACAATGCTGATTGTTGACTTGTTGTCGCGCCGTAATTTATTTGAGCTCCTTGGTCCACCTTGACCTTTATTAAGAAGGCTCTCAACCACATCATCTCGGCAGCTCCTAAGGCCATGGCCTTGTGCAGAGGCCTTTGCTGTTGACCTTGCTACTATTGGTTGTTTCATGGTCTTCCAAGAGTCTAAGTTGCCCCCTACAAACATGCAGTATCTTGTGTGGACCTCTTGTCATCCTCACAACTTGCCCATTCAGAGTCATAAATCCCCTTAATGCCTACACGCCCATTATCCCTGAAGACCAACCCCTTCATCGGAGCACTCTTCAGGTACCTCAAAACTTGTTACATTGCGTCCATATGACTCTTCCTTGGATCATGCATGTAGTGGCTTACCACGCTCACCACAAATCAGATATCAGGGTGAGTATGACTCAGATAGATTAGACTGGATCCACCAATCTGTGTTACCTCTCACGATCAACTGGTTCTCTTCTTTGCACTCTGCTTGACCTCTTGATCAATTGGACAGACTGTAGACTTGCATCCTAGCATGCATGTTTTTGTGAGGAGATTTAGTACATATTTTCTCTAAGACAATACTACCCCTTTTGGCCCACGGGCCACCTCAATCTCAAAAAATTATCTGAGCGGTCTAAGGTTCTTCATCTCAAATTTTTGGCCCAATTTTACCTTTAGTTGAGCAATCTATGCCTCATCATCACTAGTGATAATCATGTTATCAACATACATAACAAATATAATGGTGCGACCCGACCCACCATTTTGGCGGAAAAATCATCGTTTGGTCGGCATTGATCTGTTGATATTCCATGCCCACCATAGCTTTTCTAAACTAGTCAAACCAGATTCGAGGAAATTGCTTCAAGCCATAAAGTGACTTCCTGAGGCTGTACATCTTGCCTGTTGTCTAACCTGTACCGAATCTTGGTGGTATCTCCTTGTACAACTCCTTTAGTAGCTCACCATGAAGAAACACATTTTTCATATTGAGTTGGTGTGATTTCCACTAAGAGTGTAAACGAGTCGAGTTGAGTCGAGCTCGAGCCACCCTTGGTTAGAGCTTGAGCTTGATTAATTTTATCGAGTTCGAGCTCGAGCTCGAGCTGAAGTCTACAAGTTCTCGCGAGCCGGTTTGTTTATGGGTTATTTTGTAAACAGTCTCTTCTCTATCGAGATTCGAGAAGACTGTAGTACGGTTTGTTTTTGTGGGTTATTCTGTAAACAGTCTCTTCTCTATCAAGCTTCAACAAATATATCCCTTTTTGGGCAGCAGAATAACCCACAAAAATACACTTTACAGCTCTGGGATACAACTCCCCTATTGATGGTCAGTCATCCTTTACAAAACCTACACAACCAAATAATTTCAATAGGAGTATCCCACTATTATCTCTTTTAAAGATCTGACAAGTAAACTTCCAATCTAATACTCTCGAGGGCATTTTATTGATTAATTGAGCAACTATCAAAACTACTTGCTTCGCAAGTGCTTTGGGACATTCATCTGGATTATATTTCGGGCTACCTCTAGAAGGTGTTTATTATTTTTCTCTGCTGCTCAGTTTTGTGCCGTCGTGTATGGACATGTGGTTTGATGATATATCATGTGGGCTGACAAACATTCCCCAAACCCTTTGTTGGTAGAATTTGTTCCGTTATTAAACCTCAATACCTTCACTACTGTGTCATATTAGTCTAGATTGCCTTGTGAAAATCTTTAAAGCAATCAAACACTTCACCCATGTTTTTTGTCTGATACAACCATGTGACACGAGAAAAATAATTAATAAATGTCACAAAATATCGATAACTATTCATTAAACTTGTAGAACAAGTATTCTTAAACATCAAAATATATCAAATCAAAAATTTCCAGAGATGATATAAGAGCTTTTAATAAGCTTGTCAAACTCACAAACAAGATTTTGTTTATTTGCCTTTTCATATAAAAATGGATTTAAACATCTCATTAAACTAAAACAAGAGTGTCATATATGTTTGTGATGTAGCAGCAACACATCCTCCACGCTTCTCCCAGATTCTTATACTTCAGTGCTCTCTACCATGGATGTCAATGCTAAGTTTATCCTCTCTCTATCCAAGTATCAAAGTCCACTATGCCAAGTTATAATCTCAATTTTTCGACCCGTCTCTTTCTTTTAAAAAATCACCTTAGGAATATCAAATGAAACAACATATTTTAATTGGAGAATAATGACACTAATGGATAAAATGTTCATTGAAAAGGAAGGGTTATGCAAAATATTGAACAAATTTATAGAATCAATACACCTCGCTGTACCTTTATCAACTACAGGCTGAGTTGTAACATCAAAAGGCTGGATACTCTCTGAAACTGTTAGGTGAGTATAGTAAGAGAAATCTCTAGCAATGCCTGTCACATATCAAGCTGAACCAGAGCATGCTATCAATTCTGATAATTTTGTGGTGAAAATAAAGGCAAGAGCATACGTATCACAAGTACCTTTTTCAGAGTGAGCATAAGTAACAATGTTACCCCTTGATGATGACAAATTGGAAACATTCTCAGCCCCATCACTTGCTGCTTTTACTTCTTCAACATCTCTAGAAACTCATGATCCTCATTAGTAAATAACACATCTATCTCTCTCTCGTCCTCTGGTCTCATCATATTTGCCCGGTAGCCCCCTCTTCTAACTCTTCTACCACCACAACCACGACCACAACCTCCAAACTGTCCACATTCACCAGTCTCTCTCTTTAGGTGGCTTAGTACATATCTTACTCAAATGGTCTACTTCACTCTAGTTGTAGTACTTGCAAGTTTCCCCTTGGACAATAGCATTCGCATACCTAGAAGTCCACTCGGCTCAGAGTGTAGCCTCATGCGACTCTCCTCCTGTATCATCGCAACGATAACCTCATCTAGTGAAGGTATCTTCACCTAGGCTAGGAGAACTGATCTTCTCTGATCAAAGGTCGGGTTCAAATGGGCCAAACTGCATAATCTTCATCTATGCATAGTCTTCATCTTCCCCTTCTTGCACCCCAGATCACCACAACTTAACATCGGTAAGAAGTGATCAAGGTCTGCCCACAACCGCTTGAGATCTATTGAGTACTCCTGAATCGATTGATCGCCTTGTACCACAACCTCTATCTCACGCTGAATCTATAATAGCCTCATCTGATTCTCAGCCCCATCATAGGCCCTCCTCAGCTTTGCTCAGTTGTCTCTCATCTTTTGAATACTATCTATTGATGACACAATCATCAAATTGAGTAAACATGTGTAAAATCTTGTGTGGTTCTCCACTTACCCCTCAACGCTATCACTTTTTGGCTCACCCCCCTCCAGATATCCCTCTAAAGCAATCTTGATCCAATGCGACCTACTCAAATACCTGACTGGTCCATCAAGTTTCAGATCCACAGGAGAGAGATCTACTAGCATCAAGTCTGTCAGAGTACGTGTTGAGGTAGTGGCTCACGTTGAGCCGCTAGCTCCCTATATGAGCCCGACCAATACCTTCAGAACCTCATGATCAATCTTCCCCAAAAGCTTCAGTCTTTTATCTACTGCACTATCTTTGTCTCCTGACATCCTCAATCACAAGGAACCAAGTTTTAATCACACAGATCAACTCTAAGTCTAGATCGCACATACTTCCTTCCTCTTCTTGATTAGATTTTGATCTATCTCATCGTCAAGATTAAGGGTCTCTTTAGGGCAGTTACAGATCATTTATAATTTGTTTATTTGCAGATTATCATGACAATCTGATAATCTGTAGATTATTCTGATAAATTGGCTGGTTGTTTAGGGGAGCTTATTCAGAACAACTTATTTACAGCTATTTCTGGATAAATAACTATTTTGCCCCTGTTAAGTAATGTTGTTTGCAACAGAACTGTCTGGGTAAATTAATTGATAACACAGAAACCTCAAATCATTACAGATTTTAAAAAATAAGATGCAGTCCTCACTTACATGTGAGTATCAAAATTAATAAAATAAAGAGAAAAATAATTACAAATATAATTAAAATTATTAAAATATTGATTTTAAAATATGACGACGTATGTTCTCAGTGCACTGTCATCCTGGGAAACCATTGTTCCCCAATCACTGTCGGTAGTGGAATATGTCGGAATGTTGAAACGCCCATGCGACAACCGTAGAACTGTCTCCCATAGCTGTGAGGTTGACATGACGTGAGTAGGAAGCCTGTAGTCCGCAGTAACACAACACAACTCGGGAGCCACATAGTGCAAACATATGCTTTGAAAGAAAAAAATCACAGAAATTATAGATGTAGGAGTAACATCTCGATCAACCAAACAAATATTTGGTATCTCCACAAAAATTTCAAAGAAAACCGCAAACATCCCAAAGAAAATCATGGGATCGGAAGCCGCAAAGGGCAAACGAGTGCAACGAAAGGGAAAACCACGGAAATTATATATAGGAGTAACATTGCGAGATACCAGATGAACGAGAGGAAGCTTCGAGGGAGAAGAGACGAAGAGGGGCGAGGGAGAACCAGGCTAGGGCAAGCACGGTCGCACGAGGGAGAAGGGCATGGGAGGTAAATGGTGAGCAAACACACCTCTTCGAAGCGGGACGCGGGGTCGACCCCGCATCTCGCTTTCTTAATAAAACATATTCCAGCATTTTCAAGTCGCCGATCAAACACAGAAACCAAACGCTATTTCAGCGTTCTCGAACCGCTGCCGCACCAAATAAGTGCCCCCAGCAGATCCTAAGATCCTTATATCAACTCATTTCTCGGGATTCCTGAGGTATTGCCCCTCACAAGGGCACCTTCACCTGGCGGACAATATCTTGATGCGGCGGCCAGTCGAAAGAGAGCGATCAGCGGCCGAGAGAAAGAGAGAACGAAGGGTGCGGCCCAGGTATTGCTCAAAAAACTAGTTCTATTCATTAATGACTTGGGCTCTTATAGAGCATTACAACTATCTTAAAACTAAAACCCTAGTCATTTTCTACATTCTCTAATTACCAATAGGACCCTAAAAAAGATACAAATCTTAACAAAACTATCTCCTTAATTTATTTTATAACCAACTAAACAATTATGAGTATATCAAATGCATTGTATTTACTTTACATTGTATTTGGAATAAACATATTCTAAATATTAACAAACAAACAAACAACCCCTTGGTGATTTTGCATATATTTTCTGCCGCATCCTTGACTTGTTAAAACTGCGTTTTTTTTTTCTATGCAGTTGAAAGTGTAGAGCATGACGCTGGTGTAGACATTTGGAGCTTGGGTGTGCTATGCTATGAGTTCCTTTATGGTGTACCGCCGTTTGAGGCCAAGGAACACTCTGATACATACAGAAGGTTAGCATGATTTAACTTTTGCACCTCTCGAAGCATAAGGACATCTATTACCATGCTCTAAAGATAGAGTCATTTTAACTAGCTTTACTTCTGCGGCAGATCTTCATATTCGTTTCAGTTGTTGTTGAAGTTTCAGACGCAAACTGGATGGAGCAATTTATCCTACCAATAAAATATTAATTAATAAATCTCATTCTTTTGTAGCCTTTTGGTTTTGCTATTCTGTTCAGCTTACAATTAGCAGCTCTTCTTCTCTTGATCTCATTTGAAAGTTTGAAATCATAACGGCTAGCTTTTTTCATTCTTATGTGCTCTAATACATATACAGAATTGTCGAAGTTGATCTGAAGTTTCCCTCAAATCCCATAGTGTCTCCAGCTGCGAAGGACTTGATAAGCAAGGTAGATAGTCAACTTCTTAGCTATGTAATCTCTCTTTACTTCTTATTTTATTTTGTTATCCATCTTGCTTCAGATGCTTGTGAAAGAATCCTCACAGCGTCTACCACTCCACAAGCTACTGGAGCATCCATGGATCATTCAAAATGCTGATCCTCCTGGTATTTCTTGAAACTTGATTTTCTGGTTTGGAGGTGAGGCCCTCGAGCACATTAATGACATTGGTGCAACTAGTAGATTAGGAATCCAGGAGCTGATTCTCGATTCACATTCCTGTTTTGTTTGTCAAAAGGAGAAAAAGCTGCTATGTTTGTATTGCTGTAGAGTTATTGTTTCTCCTGTTTTAAAATTGGTTTAGTTTGAAATATTGATTTTGGTTTTAGAACCTCTAATTGACTTTCATTCCAAGCCGGTGTTCCACCTTTAACAAGTGGTATTATTGTGACGAGAATTGAGGGTCTTTTTGGGGGAGATTTTTCATCTCCTTTTTCAGACAAGCAATCATAATCCTTTCTAACTGTAATTTTTTTTTAAGAAAATTATTATAATGAGAAACAATGTTTTTATAAGAAAGTGTGGTAGATGTATGCCAGTTTTTTTGCAAAAACTTTATTGTTCAATTTTTTAAAAAGAGAAGGTATGTATATGACCCGTTAACAATTTTCTAAAAGATTTTATTTACAAAGATGAGTTTTAGAGGCAGCTATAACCTCCTCATCCAAGAGAATTTGCATCCCCATTGGCAGGAAAAATTATAACATAGGGTTGTTTGTGGTATATGCCACACCGTAGGTCCGAAAGGCGACATACTCCAACAATGCAGGTTATGATGAAAGGATGATAACCTGTTTTGTATTCTTAAAAGAAAAGATTGTGTATAAACAAAAATAAAATAAGCAAGAAAAAATAAAATGCATTTTATTTTATAAATAAGAGTCATACAACTGATACAACTTAAAAAATAATGAAATAAATGAAAGAAATTGAAATATTAATAGAGAAGAAATTATTCAGATTTAGAAAAGAAAATATAATAATTAATATTGTGCTTAAAAAATGTGCCACCATGAATCTAGAGCAAATTCAAAGGATTAAGACATGAAAATACAACCAGGATGACCCACAGAAGGAATGCCAAAAGTCCTATAATGAGAAGATCAAAGGACCAGATTAACAAAGTGCAGATCCTTTAGATCAAGACCTAAAGCTAACTGGACGAAAGTTGTTCGAGCCAATGACCAATAACAAGAATAGGAGATTCCTAATAACAAGACAATGTTGGATCTACCCTGATTGATATACAACAATTCAGGTGTACTGTGGCACCTCATCATCCAAAGAATGTGTTCTCTTGAGGCACCCCATCATCCAGAAAATGTGTTCTCTTGGCAAATTTTTGATGCCGAGCCCTCAGTTATTTTTAAATTCTCTTTGTTCGAGTCCTTTAAGGATCAGATTGATCCAACCGTCCATTTAGCGTCGTTCGAATCAGTTATCTGTTCGTTGAGGATTATCGACGCATTGAAGTGCCGACTGTTCTTCACTATGCTGAGGGAGTCAACCCTCAGGTAGTTCAATGGTTTAACGGTGGGACCTCCTCCGTCGACTTCAAAAGAATATTTGTGGTATAGTTTGTCGGTGCCCAAAAGTCGCAAAAAAGTTGGTAGGCTTTGCTGCAGGTCAGGCATGGGCAAAAAAGGAGTCTCCTCTTGTTTGCACTAATTTCTAGAAAGAGATGCTGGAAGTGCAAGATCTAGAACATGCAATAATACATACCGCCTTTGCTCAAGGGATAAAGGAAGGACCTTTGTGCTATGCTTTAGGCCTCCAACATCTAAAAATCTTAGCTGAATTGTTGGAGTTGGCTAACAATCATATTTCGGTCCAAGAGTATGACTTCAGCTCTGCTTTCGCCAGAACTCAGTCAGCCAACCATTGTTTGTGGAAGAGGCCCCAAGAGTTGACAAATGGAGACCAAGATATGGTTCACGACCTTCCGCTCAACCTTGATATGAAGATAACATACCACCCCGAGACCATAGGGGAGCCTACAGGAACCATAGTCAAGGAGGCCATACTCGATATCCTGACCAACACCCAACTCATTACCATGAGCGATTGTTGAATGATCATGAGACCCTGAAGGTTACTCCGCTGAGAGTCTCAATGGAGGAGCTAGTTGATGCTATTCAAAAGGAGTACTTCAAAAAGGTATCATCGATGAGAGCCAGAGCTTTCCTCCGAGACACCAATAAGTATTATACTTAAGACATGGATTGTGACCATGACATGAAGGAATGCAAACACCGTCGAGCATGGTCGAGGAGTTGATAAGAGCTGAAAGGCTCAAAGAATTTGTGGCACCAGGAGCAGCAACTCAGAGGTAGGAGAAGGCTTCAGTAGAAGAAATCTCGAATAAGCGAGTCTGAGCAAATGGCATCTACATCGTTAGGATAGTACCAACTACTTTCAGAGGTGGAGAGTCATCCCAACAAGCCAGCCATAAGAGGCTTCGATCGGGAGAACTGTTTACAACCACTTTCTCTCTAAAATGTGGCACTAATCCATCAATCACATTCACCATCACAGATCTGTCTCGTAAGAGGAATCCCTACAATGATGCTATGGTTGTTACGCTGATGATTAACAACTACCAAATTGGTAACATCTTATTTGACACTTGTAGCTCTGTGAACATTTGTTCAAGTCAATGTTTGACAAGATCCAACTCTAGAACCACCGACTAATTGGACCGGTTGGACCACCATACAGGTTCTTAGGTGAGTGGAAGGAAGCATTGGGAATAAATTCCTTGACAGTCACCTGGGGGAAGGTCAGAAGTCGTTCACCTACATAAAGGACTTCCTGGTGGTGGTTTAGCCGCCGACTTACATCGCCATCTTTGACCATGCCCGCTCAAATGACGACAAGGTTGTGGTCTCAACGTACCACATGACAATGAAGTTTCTTGGTGTTATTTTGACCCCCAATTAATGAATTAAAGTAAAAGGGCACTTTGGTAATGTGGTCCCGCTCACCTACCGTTCACCTACCACTCACCTACCGCTCACCTACCTCCCACCTACCGCTCTCTTGCTTCTATAAATAGAGAGGGTATGAGGCTTAGGAGAGCAAGGGAAGAAATCTTAAGGGTGTGAGGCTTAGGAGAGGAAAGGGAGAAGAGATCTTAAGCTACCATAAAAGAGGAGAGAATAGCTATAGAGTTAGAGAGGAGGAGAGCATCTTGAGGCCTTGTATCAAGGTGTCGCTTGAGAGGGAGGCCATATAAGGAAGATGAGGGCTCATCTCTATGTATAAGCTATGTATTCTCCATTTCTTTTGCCTTAGTGAAATATTTGATTGATTCCCTCCCGTGGACGTAGATCCAGTTGGATCGAACCACGTAAACGATCTGTGTTTGCTTGTGTTCTTTTTTCGTCTCATTTCTATGCCAGGAAGTACATATCTCACAACACTTGGCGATGGGGAGATCATCACCATCCTGAAAATCTAGAGCAGCCTCAAACTTGCTACCTCTGGGTGGTCAGAAGTTTGGAGCAAGGGCCACTCGATCTCCAACATCGATCTACACTATACTTAAACCTGAAAATATCTACATTATCTGCTAGAGCCTTGACTTGGAGAACTGAGCAGGTCACTCGAACGTCCACCAACTCTGCAAAGTATCCTAGCTTCATGGTCGTTAGTTCCTTTAGTAGCTCCTTTGTTTCCACCTCTCGTTAAAACTCGGCAGCCTGATTGTAGGAGTCCTTTATTTCCGTCAGATGGCAGGCTAACGATACCGGTAACCTCCACCATCCGTCAGCTGCCCTTTCACGGTCTTCTTGGGTACTAGCTTGGAGGTCAATCTCCTTCCCTTTGCTCTGCATTGGAGTCAGAGTTTCCTTGGCCACTTTGTCAATGGGGTCCCATCCAATGTCTGTTAGCGGTGAATCAATGATCTGAACCACCTCATTTGCACCAACAAACAAAAATTTAATAAAGTGAAGGAAACTAAGATCAAGTCTCCTCATACCAAGGAGTTGATCCTCTCAGACCACCGAAACAACGAAAGCTCTCACCATACAATGGAAGGACATCCGCAGTCTTGCTCTTGCTGGCTGAAAATAGAACTGTAACCCCCCAATCCTCTAGCGTCAATGCTCCGGCAACTCCCTTGGCAGGCTGTTAAGTTGGCTGATCGCAGACCATAACATAAGGGATCGGGTCGATGCACTAGCAGTCGGGTTGTCCAAGTTACTTCCTTCTTCTTTTTGTTGAAGAAGTGTAAGAGAGTCAGTTGATATAAGCTCCACGGGCCTTCGACCCATTTCTTCTTGTGAGTGAGTTGCTTAACTCATATTTGTTCCTCCAGTCAGTTCCCTCCTTCCGACCTCTTTGTTCTCCCGGACACTCTCTCCTTCCAGTTAGCTCCCTCCTTCTGGCCTCTTTTTCTCTTGAGCTTCTTCCCTGGGTGGCTCTTTGATGCAGATAACTTGAAGGTCTTCATCATTATCTTCTTATAGAGACATCTTTCGTGGACTTCTTACCGCTTGCTATCAGAGCATTCTTTAAACTGACCAACAGAGAGACACATATTTGAAAGCAAATGCGAATAACAAAAATGCCAATCACACTTTATTTATAGAAGCTATGGGCACAAAAATCTAGAGTTCAATTATTAAAGTGCTAATTACGAAATAAATGAATTTACTTTTTGCAACTAATTTTATATTTGTTATCTTAATTGTCACTTTCTAGAAAAAAAAAGAATTGGAGAACTAAAATATCTACATAAAAAATGTGTTAGCATGATCTCAAGAAAATCCAACGAAGTAAGAATCTTGAAACTACAACCTGAGATGACCAATAAATGGAGGACCAAAAGTCTCATTACTGAAAGATCCAAAGACATGATTGACCAAGTATATGCTTGGATTGGGCCCCGAAGTCGTTCCGACGTAAATCGTTTGTGATCAAGATATATCAAGCTGAGAGAAGTCCTCAACCCAACTCTCATCTCAACATTGCCAGCCACCTCATAAGAGTCTCTAAGGCTCTTCATCAGAAGGCTGAAATTTTTACCATGATAAACTTCAAGAACACCCTGAAGGAACTTTTGTCGAAGGGCGAGCTATCTGTCGTATTATGTTGTTTCACCCTCTGTCCGATAACCTAGTCTTATGATGACGATAAACACTCCTCATCTAGGAGTCGATAGTCGACAACCAAATAGAGTTAGATGACCAATAAACTCAAGCTTTTCCAGCCAAGTTTGAACTATCAAATATCATCGGGAGCCAACTCATGAGATTTAACACATCAAAGTATAAAAAAATAATAATTTTGAAAATTTAAGACATAAGTAATATAACATAAGCTTATGAAACAATTAGGCAAGACTAATTACTTATGCAAATTCATTATGAA